CAGAGGAAAATCACTGAGACCCAGGTGACCTCACACAAATGGTCCCGGCAACTCACAGGTTCAACCACAGCTGCTCTGGGTCTGTTTCCCTTCCTCCCACTCATTCACTTCCCAGAGTTAATTTAGATGAGAACTACATCTTTTATCATTCATAAGGGCAGAGTGTGTTCAAATGTCAGACAAAATAGTATTCTCTCTTATGTGTCATGAAAAGCAGCGTCTTCCGAAAGACAGATGTCGCACTGTCATTATTTACATGCTAGAGTCAAGTTAATACTAAGACAGGCAATAAGTTTTAGTTTCCCTTTTTCCAAACAAAGTAAATTCAATAAACTTTTCTCATAAAAAACCTCACACAAATGACTCTGTGTTGGCAAATACAAAGTGTGTTAAATGCCACAGAAGGAGAAAAGTAACAATGCAACAAGAGGACTTCAGTGAGCCAGATCCTAAGCACAGAAACAAGCTTATACAGGCATTCATCTCGATATAATGGAGAATTACATTACATTCATTCATTCATGGAAGAGTTAACACACTACCCAACTGGCCAACCTACTTCTACCTAAGAAAGTGGTCACTTCTTTATGAATGAACTTGCCACTACAAGCAACACCTTCAGGTTCTCACTCATCAGGTTAAATCAAGCTTACCCTGTCACAAAGACAGCCAGACACAAACACAAACACACAGGAAAATCACACACTTGCTCTCTTGAACTTGCATTTTTTTTAAAGATTTATTTATTTGTGCAAACAAGAACTGGGGTACAGAAGAGGTGCTGGGTGTGAGAGGATGAAAGGATTCACCAGAGACTGAGTGGGAAGCAAAACAGGTAGATTAATTGAAATACACTGCTGAGGGGGGCAGCGGGCAGGTCAGGAGAGGTCTGCTATACCATGTGGGTCACCTTTCTGGCTGGTAAATGAACTTGAACCGCATTGGTTGCGGATAGCTTCATAGTGTTGCGCTTTAAGCTGTTGTACCACCAGGGAGGGCCCTGAACTTGCATCTTTTTAATGCCAAATGTTTATTCTCTCCAAGTTAAAGAAAAGATGAAAATGCCCAGTCTGACTCTGGAGTTCAAAGAGTGTCCATATGACGGACAGGTGAACACCAGTTCACCTGGGAATTGACAGATAACACACATGATGGCCCACTCAAGAGTATAAAACCACATTTCAGAAATGAAGGTCTTTAATGGGTACAGACTGGTATCCAGTTCCCTCAAACCCTCCTCTGCCACCAAAACTGCCATTCAAGTGTACAAACATAAAACTCCTAAAAGGACTTAAATCTAAAATCCAGCTGTTTGGTGGTGTGGATCTCTCAAAGCAAAATAAAGTAAAAGAAATCCTCACCACCTGGCTTTTTGATACATTGCAAACTAATGCCACATTGGCATCAATAATTAGAGTTGACTCTCCAACAACCAGGTTTAGGAGCCCTGTGCTGTCAAAATTCCAGGACAACTTCTGACTGCCCCAAAACTAAACTACTAATAGCCTGCTGCTGACCATAAGTCTCACCATCAACAAACAGCTGATTAACATATATTTTATACAGAATATGTATTACATATTATATTCTTACAATAAAGTAGGCTAGAGAAAAATCACTTTAGAAAATTATAAGGAAACAAAAACATCTACAGTTCTGGGGTTTATGAAACTTATGCAATTGAAAGTACTTATAAGTTTACACTGTCTGCTTACAAGAAAATAAGTGTATAAGTGGACCCTCATCATTCAGACTCATTTTTTTCAAGGGTCAGGTGTACTTTGGGAAAAGAGTATAAAAATAGAAGAAATAGAAGAATCATTGTATTTTGTAGGATAGGCCAGTTAAGTTTCATTTTCTTGAAGTCATTAGCTCCATTTAACAGAGCATCAATCTTTGTGGTGGTGATGTATGTGACAAGAGCTGCCAGCTTTCTGATGAGGAGAAATCTATGAATTTGAGAAACAAATGACATAATGTACTATAAGTGCAAAAAAAGGCACAACCCAGAGCATTTTTTGGAATGTGCTGATTTTTGGCCAGTCTGGTGATGGATCTCACTGTGAAATTATCAACCTTTAGTTGAAGAGTAATTCCCGCCAGAGGCCACATATTGTGTTCCCTTCTCTCCCAAAACAACACCCAGAGTCACTAACCATAACAGTTGTGATTTATACATAAAGCCATCCTTTCAAGTTGCTTAAAAATCATCATCGTCATCATCATCATCCTGGTTCCCTGGAAGATCTGACAACTGGCTGCTAGAATTCCTCCCTGCTCCCCTCAATTTCAGAACTAATATGAGTCCCTAGAGAAATCCCTAGGAACAAAAAGGTCATAGGCACTCACCTAGAATCAAGTCACAGACCCAAATATGAATGGGTATTTATCCATACTCTCATTCATTTATTTTTTTTTTAAAAGATCATTAGAATCAGGTCAGAAACATGCTAATAATATCTTCAAAAATAGAAAGAATGATGAATGGGGTCTACTTTCAGTGAATGGTTTGAAGAATGTGCTACCTGGGGTTAGGTACTTTTCAAAGAGGGAGATGAGACACTCAAAAGGTTATTTTGAGTGTAGCCAATTATCAATTATAAATTTAACTACAAAAAGCTAATATTTCATGAATATGAAAGGCTTTAAAAGGAAGTCAGTTAGACAGTAACTGAGAGGACAGTGACCTTGTTCTGATTTATCTCATGCTGGCACAATGAGAGGCAAAAAGCCTTTATTAACAGTTAACACACTCTCCCTCCTGGAGCTTATTTTTCAAAAAAATGTCTACAATGTCCTTGAATGTAGGTACTATTTATTGATCTAGAACCATCATGCCCTGTATTTCATGTCACCATTTGTCCACAAAGGCCAGATGACTTTTTTTAAAGCGGGTATTAGAAATAGGATGGTAGCTGGTCAAAGAAAATGTAACCAAAACCTCATCCTATCTTTCTCAATAACTCAAACAGTTCAAGTTTTATCCTTCCGCAGTACCATGTTTAACTGTACCACATTTGCTTCACACACATGGGTGGAGAAAGAGAAATACTGGTTAAATAAAACTAAGCATATAAAAGTACTGTTATTACTGAAACTGAATGAAATGGAAAGCTTTGTTGTATCCAAGTCCTTAAGCAGGAGACTGGTTTCTTGGAAAGATCATGTAAATCTGAATTCGATCCATGAGGATAATGACCAAAAGCTCCTCTTTACTAGACTGCTTATTACAAGCCACAGTTTGAACACTTCATCTGTCAGGGGATAGCACAACAACCCATAGGACTTGGACATCAGCTCCTTCTTTCCTATTGAAAAAGTACACAAGAAAACACAAGTGTTTTTGCGTACTCCCTATACAGCCTACACAGTGTAAATAGGCAACACTTACTCGCTATCCATTATTTGAGAGCAAGTTCTGTTTCTTAACCAAAACACACCAAAATGAAAGAATACAGGCCTTTCCAGTACAGTCCACCTTCCTTCTGCAAAATGCCTGCCCTTTATCCACGCTGTGCTATTCCATTTTTTTCAAGAGTTAAGAAAAATACAGATTTGGATGTTACATAAACCGTAATAAAACAAAACATGTCTTTCTAGCCCTGAAACCCGGTGTCCTCTGCTGGGCAGCCATCTATAAGTGCTCTCCCTCCACACATCCTACTTGGGTTTGTTGGATGGAACCATGGGCTGTTAATTTTCCTCATCGCAGGAAATGCCCTTTGGTTTGGGCACCTGGGATGTTGCTCTGGGGGCAAAAGGAAGTCCACGCCCATTTCCTCCAGACCTCGCCAAAGGATCCTCACTGCTGAGCAACGGTGAGGAAAGAAAAGGGAAACTTGACTCAGCCCTCTGCCCATGCATGCCTTTTTTTTTTTTTTCTTCTCTAAAATAAAGAGCCTTAAGCACTGGTAAAGAATGTTCTGAATCAGTTTACTGAGCTAGTTTTGTTTTTTTTTTCTCCAGAAAGTCTATCACACCCATTTAGTGCCCAGGGCACAAAAAATCTCCTGGCAGAAGAAAAAAAAATTTTTTTAAACAGGAAATAAATAAAAGGTAGAATTCTACACTTCCACTTCTCAAAATGCCTTTCTCCTGACAGAAAACCACGTCCCTAAACACCAAACTAGGACAGGAAACCAAGTTCAATCACTCCCCTCACTTTCTTCTGGGAAGGCAGGCTTGGTTTTGGTGCCACCTTTGGAAAGTCCATGTCCCCATACGAAACAGTTTGTATGCCACGCCTTCTGCCACTTTTCTCTGCTAAAACTCCCCTTTCTACCGCTGGACAGACCACTGCTCCCACCCTTCCTCCGAGCAGCCATAGAAAAGCATCCGAGGGCTCCTCCCGGCAGCCTCCCTCACCCCTTCGTCCAGGACGCTGGCATCTGAGAGGGATTCTGGGTGAAATGTGAGAGTGAAAGCGAACTGGAGTTGGAACTGTGCTTCCCACGGACTCAAAATTAAGAGCCCCCAAGTGAATTTCTCACATGCTGATTGGGCTACAGATAAAAGATGTTTACGCTGACCATAGAAGACTTTCGTCAAAGTCTCTATGTAATGGGCCCGAGGAGAAGCAAAAAAAACCCAAAACTTTTGTTCTCTCTCAGAGCCTAATTCTTGACTCGATATTTCACAAACTTTTGTGGCCCTTGACCACACGCCGACACACACTCACACACAAACACATTCTCTCTCTCTCTCTCTCTCTCTTTCTCTCAATCTTCTCTGACTGTGGGGTTCTTCAGTTCTCCAGTCCTAGCATTCTTGGGAGACTTGGATGTGGGGGTCTGAGGCACAGACAGGACCCCACAAGCCCCAGCCTGGAGGCACTTTCACACCGACGCTAGTCTGGAGCGCCAGGACTTCAGCCTCCCCACAGAAGTGCTGGTTCCCACCGGGAATTGCAGCGAGCTGCAAAAGGCAAGTCTCCCGGGAAGAGGAGGGGCGGCGCACCACCGCGGAGCCGTCCCCCGGTCCGCGGGCAGCCCCGCGCTTACCTGGACGGCCGAGTTCCCGAAGTTCTGGCACTGCTCTCCGGGCGCTCCCAGCCCGCCGAGAGCCCCGCGGCCAGCCGGCTCCCCAGCCGTCCGTCCCGCTCCCGCCCGCCGCCTACACCCCGCGGGGCCGACACAGACTCGGGAATCCGGGCGGCGCGGCGCGAGCGGGCGCTGACATCACTCCGCGAGCGCAGGTACCTCCCTCCTCCTACTAGTCCCGCCCCCGTACCTCCGCCCAATGAGCGCGCGCTGGGGGCGGTGTCGGCGCGCCCCGCCCCCCGCAATTGGGCCCGGGCCCTGTCGCTCAGAGTCGTCCACTAATTTTACACATTCCTGCTGAGCTGGACTCGAGCTCTCGCCAGTGGGTGTTGATGGAAAAAAAAAAATGCTGCCTTTCCTGCTATCGCCGAGGAAAGCCAGTAATTCTGTGGAGGGGAACCTCGCGGGTCGTGTCTTCAACTCTCCTTGGTATAGTTCTCATACCCCTGAAGAAAGGAAACGATTCCATCCTGGCCCTCGTTCAAAGGAAAAACAGTATGCTGTGTGTCACGGACACAGGCGAGTCCCACGGCGCGGGGAGCTGAAAATGGCTTAAAGTCCTGCAAATAAGGGATACGCTTGCTCGCTTTTCTGTCTCTTTGCCGGGGGTTCCCTCAGCCAGGGATCGAAAACTTCCAAAGCACTTGCAAAAGATTTGGAAGGGAAGCCTCGGAAGGGCGTCCCAGCTCAGAATAGTTAACTGGGGGTTATCCACCATGTGGTTGCTGTTGCTTTTTGACCCACCAGGGGAAGAAAAAAAAAAAAAACGACCAGCTTACGAGCTTGCAGACAAATAAATCTGAGCCTCCGATGTACGAAAAATTACTGTTTACCTTGTTAAGGGCCTTAAGGCTGCTGTTTTCATGCACAACTGAAAGGGAGGGGGAGGGGATCTGACAATTGAGTTCAACAAGCCACAAGAGAGTAATTACTGCTGAATGGAACCAATTGCAGTGGCTGAGCTATCAATTAAGAATTAACTAACATTTACCCTTGACGGATATCACTGCCTATAATCCCCTTGCCTAAGAGAACACAAAGGTTCTCCAGAGACAGGTCTTTCAATTTACCTAATGTCTGATCAAAGCAGAATTTCATGGTGCACATGGCTTTATTTCTATGAGGTATATTTTATCTTCTTATAAATCTCATAATATTAAATACTGTATTTATAAGGTGTATTACCCATCATCTTCTGAAAATAGTATAAATTGATACTGTCCTGCTGTTACTTTTTATTATTTGTTGTGTGATGTCATTTGTTTCACCATTGTGCCCAAATTGCAGAGGGTGCAGAGTCCAGCTTGGGTCTTATTCCATCCTCACCACTTCCCTTGTAGTGAATCATCAGCCCTATTTTAACCTAAAGAGTCAAAAACTGCCAAATTATTTAAGTAAATTGCCCTAAAACAATCAGAACTGGGATTAAACCCAGTTCTGTTTGACACCAAAGCATTTGTTCTCTTTACTCTAAAGCACTGATTGACTGCCCACAATCTGCATTCTTGCAAACACTGTAATGCTAAAAATAAAAATCCACAGACCCAGGCCACTGCTCCCACAGACCTACTTTATGTTATCATATCATGCCGTGTGTCTAACCTGAGTGACTCCAAGCTCCCACTCAACATTTCTGACTCCATTTTACCCCAGCTCTAAATCTACCCCATGAGTTTGCTTTTACCATCGACATCTTCCCTTTCAAGTCAGGCCCTGTCCCATTCTTTGCAATCTTTGCCTTATCTGCCCTTGGTCCAAAAGGTCTGTTCACAGAACCTAGTGCGATTCTCACCTTCTGGCCTACCTGGATTCCTTCTCAAAGCCCAACCAAGGTCCAAGTGCCTGCTGGATGCTACAGCAGACAGAAAAAGGGTTCTGAATCTTTGCTCAACTCTGCCACAACTTGCTGTGTAACTTAGGACAAGTCTGTAAATAAAGCACCATTAGAAACCCTGGTTACTACCTCTTTAAAATGGGCTGATAAGACATCAAAAGTTATACAAGCTTTAATGGCATTGTATAGGTGTGTAAACAGATGATTAAATATATCCAGTTATATATATTCCTTATTCACACCCTGAAGGGCAAGCTCCATGCTACTTACCTCTATGTTTTCCTTAGCCCTAATTCAAGGAAAAGACTCAGGAAAAATACAGGATCACAGAAAATGGATCCTCATATCACTCCTAACCCCCTACATGTCTTTAAATGTCTCCTACCCACAAATAACCTCGCAGCCAGAAACCCAGCTATCTCCTCCCTCCTTCCACCACCCCTTTTTACTTTTGTTTTGTTGGGAATCTTTTGCTTTTTCCACTCTCTCACCACTCATTCAATAACCTTTAAGACCCTCTTATTTTCTGCAATAACCACTTAAGCCTGTTCCTTAGACATTCTTCCTTCCCGCATTCTCACTCAGGAACACACTTGTCTTCTCATACCTGTTACAGACCTGATTTCCCAGCTGCATCCAAGCAGAAACTGGGTGGCTACCAGTCCTTCCAGCCTCAGGAAGGCTTCATCCAGGCTCACACTCTCCAAAGCAGCAGATGGGGGCGGGAATATCCCAACCCACTGGGATGGCAGGATAAAATAACAGGAAGTTGCCTCCCATCCCCTCCGCAGCTGGAGTGATAACAGCTGCCATCAGAGTCCAGAAAACAAAAGACTTAAGAAAGCCAAAGCGGCCAGCGTTGGAGCAGCAGTGTTAACCAGGAGTGCCACAGTGGGCGAGGAAAGAACCAACCAATGGCCAACTGCAGCCTCCTCATCACCCACCATTAATCAGTGTGATGGCTCTTATCTGTTCCACATTTGCTTCATTTAATAAGGCTTCACCACAATGCTTCATTTTTTCTAACATGTTTATTATTTAGAATAATATTTATTACAGCAATAGTTCTTATTTATGAGTGATAAATCTTTTGACACCATTGGCCTTTGGTATGTATCTCAGAATAACTTCAAGAAGCAGGATATTTATTGTACCGTTTAGTGTTAAAGAAAGATGAAATGTTGCCATTTGCAGTAAAATGAAAGGAACTTGAGGGGATTATCCTAAGGGAAGTTAGCCAAAAAGATCAAGACAAATACTGGACAATTTCACATATGTGAGTAATATAAGGAAACAAAGAGGTGAACTGACAAAACAAACAAAAAATAAACTAGTGGACATTGATAATTGAACCGAGGTTATCAAAGAAGAACTTTGGGGAGAAAGACTGAGGGGCAGTAAGAGGTAGGGTGAATATTTTGTCTTATTTTCCTTCAAAACAATTTAAAAGAAAAAGGACATTGCAACAGAGGTGAAATAGGATCCCTTATAAACATATACCCAAGGTTTACCCAGAGTCCTGGATCTTTGCTGACTTGTGGACAAGTCCATTTAAACTCCTGCGGTTTCAACACTAATTAGCAATGTAGGTTTAAGTACTAACTTTCTGTAATATCTAGTTATTTCTATGGCCAGCTTGACTTTTAGTACCCATGAATCTTGCAGATAATATCATTGGGGGAGGGATGGGAAGGGAGCACTGTGAAAGCAGGAGAAAACCTGCACTGAGGAACAGAAGTAGATCCTAAAATGGAACCACAGTGACCTGGTACAACCACCAATTGGAGGCAAGTACCCATCTACAGCACTCCTGGCAGGTGACTTTTACTGCAGCCTCACAAAAGATCCTCTTTCCTGTCTGCAGACTCTGCTATTCAGACTCTTCCCCCAAGAACAGCCATGTGTCTTGCATCACCCTTATAACTGAACTGTAGAGTGTTAATCATCCCATCATAGCATAAGGAATCAAAGGCTCCGCAAGATTATAGGAGTCAGTTGCTCTAGAACACCCAGAATCAGGGTTGAAACCAAGGTCTTTTCTGGATCCAAAACCTTGATGGTCTGTAGACGGCTGTCTTCCCATCTGGACTCGAGTGAGAGCAGGTTGTCTTGTTACCCTGCTCCAAGCATGTAAGGGCACAAGGTCACATCCTCTCCAGCCCAGGTGCAGAAGTCAGGAGAGGCTCATGGGCTCATCGAGGTCACATCGTTGCCTGACTGGTTTTCACAGGCTTCTAGTTGCCACTCTCCAAAGCACAGTCCTGATCACTCTTGACTCTGAAAACTTTATTTTTTTAAAGATTGTATTTATTTATGCATACAGAACTTGGGTGCAGACCAGAGGTGCAGGGGCAGTGAGAGGATTCACCAGAGATAGAGTGGGGAGCAGAACATGCAGATTGAAGAAATATACTGCTGAAGGGAGCAATGGGTGGGTCAGGAGAGGTCTGTCTCCCATGTGGGTTACATGGGGGTTGAGGATCTAGCTCACAGTGTGGCGGCTGCAGCTCTTCAGTGCTGAGCTTTAACCCACTGTACCACTAAGTAGGGCCAACTCTGAAAACTCTTACATGTGTCCCCGTTAGTAAGGAACAAAATCCGAGATCTCAACTGATGTCCAGAAGCCTAAACATGCTGCTTCCCAATTCCCCTTTTCAAACTTACTGTCTTCCTTAGGGTCTTTGCTTTTTGCACTCCCACACTGCCCAGATGAAATGACCATGCACCATCCTCCTGTGTATGTCTCCTCGGTGAAGGACAATTTTGTCCATTTCTACTAAAGTCCCTTCCCAGGGTTGATGTGAGATCTAATGAGAGCACACCACCCCCCACATAAATCATTAGTAAGTAGGGCCCTCCCTGGTGGCGCAGCAGGTTAAAGCTCAGCACTGCTGGCAGGCTGCAGCCCCTTCAGTGCTAGTTCGATCCCCGGTCCAGGAGGTTATCCACATGGCGTGGCAGACCTCTCCTATCTGGGCCTCTGCTCACCTCAGCAGTGTACCTCATCAACCTGCCCGTTCTGCTCCCCACTTTGTCACTGTGCTTATACTCCAGTTCTGTATATATAAATAAATCTTAAAAAAAATAAATCATTAGTAAGTATATTCTTCTTTTTCCTATGACATAAAACAGTTGTCACATATCATTATATGCAGCTTATATTTCACACCAACTGCAGTCCTTTAGTGAAGGATGCTGATCTGTTTTGTCTTTATACCCTTTATGATTTTTTTCTTTAAGATTTATTTATTTATGCATACAAGAATTGGGTACAGGCTAGAGGT